CTTTAATCACTTTGGAATCATCTGCTGGTCATCCCTATGTGACTGGCACAGGAGTTTCTTCCCCCCAAAGATTTGCTGCAGAGCAAAAGTGGAGGCGCCAGCAGAGAAGAAAAAAAAAGGGAGGAACGGTGTGGGAGCCAGTAGAGGACAGCCTGTGCGTGGCCTGGAGCCCTCGAATGCAGAAAGCATGAGTCAGGGTCTGGTAAAGCATCCCAGGTGGAGAAAAAGTGCCCCGGAGGAATGTGCCGTGACTCCCAGCTGGCGCTTTGCCTGCACTGGGTGTGCCTGGAAGCTGGGCCCATGGGCCAAAAAACTCATTCACACCAGCGGATATGACTTTTTATTCCACGTTATTGACCAATAACCACAGTCACGTCATTTATGTTTATTGCATTGAAAACCCGACTTTAAGCTTCAGGAAGAAGCAACGTCTCAGGGCACAGCCCTCCAGTGTGCACCAGGAGTGGACCACTCTGCGCCGGGGAGTGTTAATAGCCAGCTCTACTTTGGGGAAATTCTTCTATTTCAATGGGCGTATAATTAGCAAAAGTTTTAATCTCAGAATATGCATCATTCCCCATGGAGGCATGTCACAAGCAGCTTCATGCCCTGAATACTAAGGAAATGTGAATTAAGCTAAAAATGAAGACATCGAAGGCTTAAGTTCGTTGTTCTTTCCCTGTTCACTGAAGCCCATCCTTGAAGGTGGCACATGAAGCAGAACTAACCCTAAACCCCCGGTTTCCATGGGTCCTCCCAGCTTGAAGGGAAAGAATAAGGGTTAAAACCAAGGGTTTTATATCATGCAGTTAACCACAGCACAGCCTGCTTCGGGAATACAGCTATTTCCTTGAACTGCCAGGCCTCTCTTGGGAGACACCTGTAACATATTTACACTTGATGTATCTGAAGGACCCAGTCTCTTTCAGTTTGTTGAATTAGGTAGACAAGGCTAGTTTTCTGCTAGGAAAAAAAAGAGACGCTTTCTGAATCATCTCATGGAAGTTCTTAGAAGGAACTGGAGCCAAAATATGTTAATAGGTGACAGCTGTAAGTAGGAGATGGGAACTCTTTCTTGAGACAGAACTCACTTTGTTGCCCAGGCTAGGGTGCCATAGCTTCAGCCTAGCTCACAGCAGCAACCTCCACCTCCTGGGCTCCAGCCTTTCTCCTGCCTCAACCTCTTGAGTAGCGAGAACTAATAGGGACTCACCACCACACTGGGCTAATTTTTCTCTTTTTAGCAAAAGAGATGCACACAGTTGCTCTTGCTCAGGCTGGTCTGGAAGGGCTGCTGCCTTGGCCTCCCAGTGTGCCAGGATTACTCCCAGCCAAGTCTTGCTCTTTTCTCCTAGTGACATAGGCACCCAGGATTTCTTACATCAGGCAAATTCAACGCTCCTGATTCAGCAGAATCACTTTGAGGAAGGTAGGATATTAACTGCTAGGCTGCTCCCAGCATTTTCACTAGTGGGGATAGGGTCATGGAACCCCCAGTACTAGTGCCGGTGGGGATTGGGGTGTCACAGCAGCTGAGCAGCCCCACCAGGGCAGTCTCCAGCCAAGGTCAGATTACCCAGCAGCAGAGCATCTGGGAGATGCTGCCCAGCCCTGAAGGCGGTTGAAGGCCCAGTCCCAGGGGTTTTATTTTCTGTTGTTGGGTAGCCAAGCTGGGCGGGCGGTCAGGACACAGGACTGGCAAGGGCAAGATGAAACTGCTCCCTCTCTTGGCTCTAGTCTCCAGTGCAGAGATTGTATTAGGGAAAACCTTGTTAACTCTCTGGGACCAGAGGGCAAAAGTGCTCCAAGGTGCCCCCTGTCTTCCCGCCCCATTCCTCCGCCTGACCCTCACCCCTCCGCTTGGCAGGCACCTCGCTGCAAGGCACAGTTGCATTTCCTCCCCATGGATCAACTGCCCACGACCATTTGTAACGCTCTCTCAGTCAAGTCCGCAGGCAGATGTTTATGTAAGTCGCAGTCTTACCTGGAGAAGCCCCAAGTGTGACCCAGACGCGACTGGATTCCCAATCAAAGGTCTGACTCATTGTCATACACAATCATGTTTTATTTTGAAACACGTCTACACTGCATTGAGCACCAACACAGGTGTGAACAAGAAACCCACAGTCCTGTCCCAGCAGGCACTGGGTCCAGTGTATGACTTGGGGTCCACTGCTATTTTTCACGGTGGGGGGTGGAAAGGGAGAAGGAAAGAAATGAGCATTATTCCTAACTCCTGTTCAGAAATCTGAACAAAACTGAATTCTTTAAAACCTCAAACGGCTCGTCTAACTTCCCTTCTCTCAATCAACTGATGTGCAAATATGGAACCTGGGCCAGCTGGATTTGGGGAACACACAGAGGCACCGTTTAAAATAACATCCACACAGGACTGGAAAAAAACGGGAGGAATGGACTGTGTTCCCAACCGATGGTTTCCTTCCTCCTCTTAGGCACTCTCCCAAGTGTAGGGTATCAGGACTGCATCACAGCAGCGCATTTGCTCGGACTAAAAAACTTTATCTAGGAAAAAGAGCCCAATGGGAGGGAAGCGTTGAGGCCCAATGGCCTCCCCTCCTGGCCTCCTTTGATTTGATCTTTTTAACAGGATGACCCCACAGCCATGTGTGATTATATCCAAAGACTGGTGACACCTTCCATTTTTAAATCAAGTCTTTAAAATCCAGTTACTCTTCAAATATTAATATTGTACGAGATGATTTTTTTCTCCCCATATCTTTCCTCTGAGGCAGACAGCAAACATGATTAGAAAAACTCGGCTAGTTCCCCCGACCTGAGGCTCAGATAAGGGTTCTGTCTGCTTAGGGGTCAACACCGTTCTTGGTTTCTGGAACACTGGCGTCTCCAGGACCACTGAGCACATCTGACAAGCTTCTTCAGTCTCTGGGGCGCTGAGCTCTCCATGTTCCCAAGCAAAGCAGCCAAGCCAGGGCCATAGGAAGCGAGATGGCTGCCCCTCCCCCAACTCCGGCTGGACGTCATCACAGCCAGGCAGCAAGGACAGCTGGGAGCAGTCCTTTGAGTCATCAAGTCATCACAGGAGAAGGCTTTAGGTGAAGCATGCCTGGAGGCTGCCTGGTGGCCTTCTGAGAAACAAAGGCATCTTCTCCAAAGTATACACTTCCTGTTTACGATTGGAAAATGGATGTCATTGAAATGATGTATCTGGACCAGCTAAAGGCAGTGGCTCATCACGTTATTATCCAAGTTAAGATTTTTCTACTTGATTCATCATACCAGATCAGGCTTAAAAACAAGGCAGAACAAAAAACCAAACTAGAGTGGAATGTGTACATTTCAACAGATCAGCAATTGCAAAATGCTGGGACCAACGTGGCCCTGGATCAAGGCCTCAGTCGGTTCATATAAATATTTCCAGATTCCTTTGCATTTCAACAATAACAGAATGGTCAGATGGAAGGCATGTGATTACAGTTTCTGAGGACTGTAAGGATAACATCTTGGTTACAAGTCAGTCCCACATAGGTGTGCTCTAGGCATTTTGTCTCTTAAATTATCTTTTATAAAATTTATATATTCAAGAAAATTGGTCAAAAGGCAACTGTCTGGAGGAGCAGTCTGATAAACTGTCCTTTCCTGCGGTTGCATTTGGCAAGGGGAGGGATCACCATGGATTTTGGGTGGGGTGAGCAAGCATTCCACGGGTCATCTTCTCCCACAAGCTCGGGGACAGGGGCGGGGGTGGGGAGCGGAGTCAGAAATTTTCTCTTTAAAGCGTGTTGATGATAGGACCCGATCCTTCAGCTCTCAGGGTCTATGAAAACAAAGAAAGGTGACAGTAGCTTCTTTCACCCTCTGTGAGTCATTGTTTCGTGAGTCATTGTTTCTTTTGTCGTTTTCTCTATGCTGAGCCTTCTAGTTTTTTTTTTTTTTTTTTGGAGACGGAGCCTCAAGCTATCCGCCTGGGTAGAGTGCCATGGCATCACGCTCACAGCAACCTCCAACTCCTGGGCTCAAGCGAGTCTCCTGCCTCAGCCTCCCAAGTAGCTGGGACTACAGGTGCCCTCCACAACACCTGGCCATTTTTTGGTTGCAGCCGTCATTGTTGTTTGGCGGGCCCGGGCTGGGGATTTGAACCCGCCACCTTAGGTGTATGTGGCTGGCGCCTTAGCCAGTTGAGCCACAGGCGCCGAGCCGAACCTTCTAGTTCTGATACCTGGTGATCCTTTTTGCCTCTCATTCCTCCTCCTCCTCCTCCTCCGATCCCATCTAGTCCCTCTCTACCAGGGGTTCTCAACCTTCCTAATGCAGCAAACCTTTAATACAGTCCAAAGGGGTCGACACCCACAGGTTGAGAACCGCTGCTCTATAGCCAGGGTCAGAGTCCTAAGTGTTTCGAAACACACTAGGTCTGCAGCTGTGCCATCTTGTTCCTCAACGCCCCTAAAGCTGCTTATCATCAGCTCTTCCCCCTCCCCCACCATATATCATCCCCACCAACAGAAATAAGGAGTGTCCTCTGGCCGTGAGTTTGAATGTTCTGAATTCTTAAGAAAGCTTAATGGAGAAGAATTCCTTCCCCTCATCAGCCGTCAGTACATGCATATGAAGGAATTGAATGAGGGATCTACACGAGAGGACCCCATCACTGGGAGAGTCCTCATTAGAACGGCCCCCGGCTGTCTGACAGATGCTTTCCCAGAAACCACCTGGGTACCTCTGACGGAGGTGGGTTAAAACTTGATCTGGGTTTTCCTTCAAGTTCAATTAGTTGGAAAAGACAAGAGATCAAATTTGGTTAGATCTCTCTAAGAGTGATCTCTTGGCTTTTTTTTTTTTTTTTTTTTGACACGTATATGGTTTTAAGTAGACATTTGTACTGGGGAAACTTCAGATGCAGGCCTTGTGGAGGTAAGGGCTTTCAACATGACTTTTCTATCAGAGATTCCTATTGTCAAAGGTTTGAGCTCCAGACATGACCACTATTGTGCACTACACCACGTGGGTAAGTTATTTACTTACGAGTACCTTCCAGACATTTTTCGCATGACCACAATGATGATCCCACCAAGGAAGCCAATGGCTAGTAAGACCCCAACTATGATTCCAACCAGGGTCACCGTCGTCAAACCATCTGAATGAGAGGGGAAAGAAGCATGAATTCCATAAGAACAGACACCTGTGACCAAACTTGTTACATACAAATGGTGCTACTGCCTGCTGTACACAGCAATGCCCAACTTCCTAAAAATGAATTTTCCATTTGACTTTATTCCTAAATATGCTTTCTTGTTTTAAAAAAATATATATGCTGGCTTGGCGCCTATAGCTCAACCGGCTAAGGCGCCAGCCACGTACACCTAAGGTGGCGGGTTCGAATCCCCAGCCCGGACCCGCCAAACAACAATGACGGC